TCTTTTATTATCGTAATAAAAGATACACAATGAATAATTGGGAGTAATTTATTTACATTCAAATATTAAGCAAAAAATATAATTTTCGTTGGTTCAGTAATTTAAGGTTTTAGAAGAATGATCAAAATCTATTTTAGCATATGAATCATTTTCTGCACTTATTGCACTTATTGTTGGAGAAGCAACATTTTCAATTTTTTGGAATTTCGCATTATCTTTGGTACTGCATTGCGGCAGGTCTAGCTTTGCGTAATATAATTCATAACTGGAGCAAGCAATTGAAGATGTAGGCGTGGTAATATGCGGTGTTTTATTTTCGTTTATACAGTTCGGAAGCCCATGATCGCTTTCTATATTATCTATGATGGTCAAAAATGTAGGAGATCCGTTGAATCGAGCGACTGATGAAAGTTTGTTGGCGTTGGTCAATGGTGCTATAGGCAAGGAAGGCACGTTTGATGAAACAATATTTCTCATTTATTCCTGCTAATGGCAATTTTCGCTCTCTGTTAGAAGAGGATTCTGTTTCTTTACAGCTGTAATTTTTACCATGTATGTTGTCTAGCAATGAACATATCGTACTATATTCCTCATGGAATATGTTTTTTGTAGTTTTAATAATTTTCTCAGTATCAATCATAGAAATACTTTTTTTAGTTTCGGTTTCATTAATTGTTTTTGAAGTTGGTTGAACTGAAAGTTGGGAATATAGGTATACACGAAAGATTAGTAATTTCCTCAGAGTTCGAAGTACTATCAAGTTTTACTTCTTCCAAATGGTGATTTCGATTTTCTTCATGTAATACAAAATCAAGTTCTTTAGTAGGCATACACAACTGATTTTGTTTACTGTTTGTGAGTTTTTCCTCAAATAGATAGTTTCCGTGGGAATATATTTGTACTTCCTTTCTTTTTACGCATGATGTAGATGTAATGTCACTTGCTTTTGTTGTGTCGGAAAAGCTTTCGTTTGAATGTGACAGGGAAATCTTGTGCATGGGACATATTTCTTGATTCAAAGGCTTCATTTCCAAGTATCCACTTTCTTCATGATTTATTTTTTTAAGCGAAAATGTTTGTAACATTTCACTAACAGGTTTTGATGTCTGATAACCCTTTACTTCGTTTAACGATACATCAAAACACTTTCCACTGACAGGTACAGCTTTTCCATTTGTTTTATGGATAGTACTTTTCGAAAAATCAATTTCCATTAGATCACTCATACAATCCACAGATACTTGACTATTTTGGACCAGTATAGGAGCACTCGTTGACTTTTTATCACAATTCGTATTTAATCCCAATTTATAACCAGTATCGTCAGCCCCAAAATTTAAACTATTGTTACTAATACAACTCTGATTAAAGCAGGATCTGGGAAACAGCACGCTGTAAGTCACATTTAGGAATTTTCGCCCGAGATCCAACTGAAAACGCTCGGACTCGGATAGCGTTTTTGTCATGTAAAATCTCGTTCGAATTTCCCGATCGTTTGATTTTGTTTCTGTCTATCTTACTTCCAATTGAATACGATCGTTTAGGACTTTGCTCACTGTAAAATCAACAAATTTATTATATCAATATTTTGAAAATTTTAACAAAATTATATACTGTATTATTCCAAAAAAAAATAAGCAAAAATTGCAATTTAATATCCCTATTGTGGAAAGGTATCGTGTATACATATTTTTCTGGCGATTATAACAGAAATTTTCTTTGCGTGATTATACTCGAAACCCCTGATATTAAAAGTTATGTTCACATTTTCGAGAACTACTGTTTAGAGTATTTGGCAGCATAGATCAAATTTGTAAAATTAAACATAAAAAAAAATATAAAACAATAAAGTTCATTAAAATTTATTTAGTAGATTTGATTAATTTATACGTTTCTACAAAATCTTTTGCGTTAAATGCCCAAGTTTTCGAATTGATTAATATTGGCATCTTTAGAGGGTATGAATTTTTTGAAAGTAGAACTTTTTACAAACTATCAACTTATGAGAAGATTTTGTGCTGATTCACACACGAATCTTTTGATGCCGCAACTCGTAGTTTGTTAGCGAGGGCGCGAAGAGAAAAGGCGAGGGCACCGAGTTATGATATTGTTTGTAACAGTTTGCTGTTACGTAGTTCGGTATTCCGTTTAATTTTGAAATTCTTTCCATCATTGCAATTTCGTTCGGTTTCAAATAAATATTTAAAATGTGTTACCGATATTCCGCTAGATCACCAATTGATTCCTCTACTTGTTTATTTGAAAGACTTCAACGACGTTTGGATTGATCCACTTACTATGTATCTCGCCAAGTACAATAAGTGGACTAAACAACACGGCTTTAACGAAGAATATGTTTGGAATATAGCTTTGTTCACCCTTCGGAAGAAATTAAAAGATATTAACACAAGCATTTATTCCGAATAGCCCTCAGGTTATTTACACTCATACGCAATAGAATCAAAGCTGTGCCCTCAGACTCTTTGATTCATTCTAGCAGATAGAGGGGCAACACAATCGATGGTACTATCGATAGTTTTATTTTCGTCTCACTATTGATAGTTTATTTTGACTATCGATGTTTTGTGAGGTTAAGGGCAGATTTACCAACAATTTTCATAAAATTACAAAATCTCACTCAATAAAGCTACTTAATGATATAGTCTGGTAATCTCAAATGAAAATTCTAATTTTGGATAACATCCCAGCAAGTCAGGGCTACGGAAACTCAATACATTAAAGGAATTATCGAGGAAACTAACACATAAGCCCAATGCATAAGAAAGAGATGAATGATCACACGTACATAAGAGTTTCAATTAGAAATGTCAATTGGGCCTTAAAAAACTCATAGAAACATAGAAACTTTAACAGGAATCTCTTATGGAGCTGTTGGGTAATTAGTCGGTGATTTAACAGACTGGTGGCTTGCAGGGCTGGTAGCCTCGAGTTGCCATCTCAACTTCCTTTGAGATGCTATCACAGAAGTCACCACGAATCGGTGCACTGGGATATTCGAATCAGTCTACAGACACAACGGACGGTTGTGTGACGAATGAACATAATTAGGAACTACCGTTAAAACAAGAGAATGACATAAACTACGTTTAGAACGGCGAAGTGGCGGACCGTATGAGTCAGTCGTGTACAGGGATAATGGGATGCACAACTCTTTCCAGTGTGAGAGCGCCTCAAAATTAGCGTTTTTTATAACATTTTCCATTGTAGCCAGATCGTACAAAATAATAATTTTTGGGAATTTAAATTAAAATACCCATCATTTATTAAGATTAAATATTATTATACATGTATCCGTTAAACATATGCAGAAACTTTTTATACTCTTTTTTTTGTGATTTTGTGATTTATTAAACAATTGATTTTTGAACTTTCAATACGTAATCAAAAGAATAAATGTATTAGCTCTCAATTAATAAATGTTTTTAAAAATTTTCAATTGAAAATCAATACCACTTAGCATGACATCACAAAAGATATCATCACATACATTTCAATTTCGCGTTTTCTTTCATTTTCATTGTTTTCCAATTTTTGTTAGTGATCTTCAACAGCAGCACAAATCTCTCTGTTTACATATTTTTCTGTAGGATTTTAATCTGGCCGTCCCTCTTTTTCCAATTGCTAAACGTCAGACCTACTGAACTTTGACAGTTGCTTGAGTTCAGTAGGTTTTGACGTTTATCAATTGCGCTCTCATTTCCAGTGAGAGACGAGTTGGGCATCCCATTATCCCTGGTCGTGTATTAGTATTGATAACTTGCGCATTTGGTTTCAAATTCGTCACTACAGAAATTCGCTAAAATCATATATAAATTACATGCCAACAATTAAAGTTCAAAAGGAATGACATAAGAACTCCAGTATGAGTACTAATGCCAAAAACAAACATATAGTCAGGGCTGCAACCCATTCCAAAACTCGATGCGGTTCGGTTCAGTAGTTCGAACCACTAAGAAAAAACTTGTACCGGTTCAACAACCTGTTCATAAGTGTCTCTGAACCGCGGTTCGGTTCAAATGGTTCAATATTTTATACTAACTGATGTAAAAAAAATTATTGTGCATATACCTATGTATGTATGTACGAAAAAAGGCTTTGAAGTTGAGATCAAATTCATGTATTCATTTCATATTCAAATTCATGAATTCATTTACCACTATTAGTGTGAAAGATACAATAAGTTGTTATAATATATATATACATATTTATCATATCAGTATTGACATTTACTATTATATAATTACACATACTTTTATTGGATGGAATTTATACTTAAAGAAGTGACATATCTGAGGTCAATACAGCAAACGGCTACAAGCATATTACTTCGATTTACATTTTTATACTCTAGAAACCTGTTGCTACAGAGTATAATAGTTTTGTTCACCTAACGGTTGTTTGTATCACCTAAAACTATTCGAGTTAGATATAGGGTTATATATATATAAATGCTCAGGATGAAGAGACGAGTTGAAATCCGGGTGACTGTCTGTCCGTCTGTCCGTCCGTCCGTCTGTCCGTCCGTGCAAGCTGTAACTTGAGTAAAAATTTAGATATCTTTATGAAACTTGGTAGACATGTTTCTTGGTACCGTGAGAAGGTTGACGTTGCAGATGGGCGTAATCGGACCACTGCCACGCCCAAAAAACGCCATTAATCAAAAACAAATAAATTGCCATAAATAAGCTCCGCAATAAGATACAAGACTGTTATTTGGTACACAGGATCAGATTAGGGAGGGGCATCTGCAGTTAAAAATATTTGTCTAAAAGTGGGCGTGGTCCCGCCTCTAACAGGTTTAATGTGCATATCTCCTAAACCGCTAATGCTATAATAACAAAATTCACTGGAAGCAAATGTTCTTAGAACCTCTACCTACAGTGTGAAAATAGTTGAAATCGAGTGGCAACTCCGCCCACTCCCCATATAACGGTACTGTTAAAAACTACTAAAACCGCGATAAATCAAGCACTAAACACGCCAGAGACATTAAATTTTATCTCTGGGATGGTTTGAGATGAGTTTATAGGAAAACCCATATCTTGGGATCTGCTTAACCGATTTCAACCAAATTCGGTGCATAACGTTCTTTTCATATTTCTATATTATATTGCGAAATTCTATATTATATGCTAAATCGGACTACAACCACGCCTATTTCCCATATAACACCATTTTCAATTCCATCTGATTCTTTCACTTTCCAATATGCATATCAAGCAATAATGATTATATCGGGGTGAAAATGGTCTAAATCGAACCAAAACTGTTCAAGCCCCTAGGTACTACATATGTGGACCCCAGTGCCTATAGTTGACCTTCTACCGAAAATATCAGCCAATCCACAAAGAAATCTCAAACGAGTATACCATTTGACTTTGCGAGAGTATAAAATGTTCGGTTACATCCGAACTTAGCCCTTCCTTACTTGTTAAAGCTATGTTTGTTTCCAAACGCCTCCCATATTGTCAGATTTTCTCCAAAGGAAATAGGAGCCAACGTGAACAAGGTCTTTGCTTCCAATATTAATCGTGTCTAATTCATTTTACTTTTCCCATATATTTTGGGATTTCTTCATATTTTGCAATAATGTTTTGATCTACAAAACAAATAGACTTATATCATAAATCACTTGTATGAATGCTCGGTACATTTGATGTATGTATAACATTAACTGCATATAACTTTTGATGCAAAGTTTTCATGCAAAAATATTAACAAAACCATTTCTGTAGTACGGAAAATTTTAAATGGGAATATCACTTTTTAAAAGTTGTAGATTTTCTTGCTTAATGCAAAATATCAAAAAATCCCATGTTTAAATGGCATAAGTAATATAATGTAAACTGAAAATAAAGAGATTGTGTACTTTAGATCCTTTTTAGGGTACTAACTGAAACTTCAGGGGGCGTTTGCAGAAAAAACAATCAACAAGGGAATTAAAGGACATATTAATCAATATATACATATATCGCTCAGCCACAGCTGGTGTTTTACGTGCATATATATCTTTTGTTAATATAATTGCTCTTGTTCGCGATACTATCATCGACGCTTCAGCTGTCATTTTACGGTTGCGCGATCTTGTTGCCAGTGACAATTTTCAATTTATTTGAATCCAAAATTCGCGAAAATTGGCGAAATGAGACTACATACACGTGTACTTCTTATATAAAACAATTTTAAATTACATATGATTTTTTCACTTTCCAGTATAAAAATTAAGCACCAATAAATGTATCCGGATAAAACTTTGAACAAATACTTCCTTTGAATTGTACCAGCTAATGAACAAGTTTTTTAACTTCCGGCTGATTTTACACCGCAAATATCGATCAATATGTGAGTTAAGTTAATTAAATTTAAGAAGTGTATTTTAATAACAATGTATCTTTGCGAATAAAATGGATAAAGTCGGATGAAAACTTGCCCTAGCCGCCATATAATTATTATCAGGATTTAAAAACATCCGGTTGACTTTATCCCATATATTGGTGATGGTATGTGAGGTACCTTAATGGAACTTAGAGACCGCCTTTTTCTGTTAATAATATGTATTAATGGAAAAAATAGATAAAATCGGCTTAACACTATCCCTATTGTATATAGTATTGCCGCTTCGTTCGTTGTAGCCTGCTGCAAATCATGCTAAAGGTGATAAACTAATTAAGCAAAAATTGTTCAGCACGACTAAAAGCTTCAATAGACCCCAAACTGGTAGCAAAATAAATTAAACGAAGCTTTTGCAAAGCATGATGTTCATCGAACGAATATGTTCATGCGAACTATGCAAGGGCATAAACTACAATCTTGCGGGATGTTAGAAATTAAAATTCACGAAGAAACAATTTATAAAATTAAGATTATGTTAAATTGCCTTCACATACACGCCTCATAAAGTGTAAAAACAAATTCAATGCATTTACTATTATCGAAAAACATCAACTCTTTTAAAAATTACATATATTAGTATAAGACAGGGTTTGGTTTCTTCTGAAGTCGAAACCTGTCCAAATTTGCTATTGACTTGCATGTTGTCAGGGCTGCGACGCTCAAGCGCTGCGGTAAAATGGGGCGTTGCAGAGTGTAGATATGGGGGTTCGCGGTTGGTAGGTGTAGATGTTTAGGTTTCGGAGGTTGCTGGGAGCGATGAGATTGTTTAAAGCGTAGGGATCTGAAAAGCCGTAAGAATATTCTACAAACATTTAACAGCGAAACCCATACAAAGCTGGATTAAGTGCGTAAAATATATTAATATAAATAAGAAAGTATCAATACAGGATAATATATATATATAAGAACATGTATGTATTATATACAGGTGTTTTTAGTTTGCTTGGAAAACTTTTGTACTATATGCTAGTAGTTGAATTTTCTAAGTCTAATACATATGTATGTTTACTGGAAGTAAGATTTTTCAAATTAAATACATATGTATGCTTTATTACTTAGAATTAGAAGTTATAAAGGAT